CAGAAACAAGACCAAAAGATGACCCTCAGAATGGGATAAAATATTTGCACATGAAGCAACTGACAAAGGATTTGTCTTCAAAATTTACAAGCAGCTCATGCAGCTCCATTGCAAAAAACAAAGAACCCAATCCAAAAATGAGCAGAATACCTAAATAGACATTTCACCAAAGAAGATATACAGATTGTCAATAAACACATGAAAGAATGCTCAACATCATTAATCATTAGAGAAATGCAAATCAAAACTACAATGAAATATCATCTCACACCAGTCAGAATGGCCATCGTGAAAAAATCTAGAAACAATAAATGCTGGAGAAGGTGTGGAGAAAAGGGAACACTCTTGCTCTCTTTGTAGGAATGTAAATCGATACAGCCATTATGGAGGAAAGTATGGAAGTTCTTTAAAAACTAAAAATAGGGCTTCCCTGGTGGCATGGTGTTTGGAATCATATCAAGTATTTTTTCCGACCACAACGCTATGAGACTAGATGTCAATTACAGGACAAGGCCTGTAAAAAATACAAACACATGGAGGCTAAACAATACACTACTTAAAAACCAAGTCATCACAGAAGAAATCAAAGAGGAAATAAAAAAATACCTAGAAAAAAATGACAATGGAGACACGATTAACCAAAACCTATGGGATGCAGCAAAAACAGTTCTAAGAGGGAAGTTTACAGCAATAGAATCCTACCTTAAGACATAGGAAACACCTCAAATGAACAACTTAACCTTGCACCTAAAGCAATTAGAGAAAGGAGAACAAACAAACCCAAAAGTTTGCAGTACGAAAGAAATCATAAATATCAGATCAGAAATAAATGAAAAAGAAATGAAGGAAATGATAGCAAAGATCAATAAAACTAAAAGCTGGTTCTCTGAGAAGATAAACAAAATTGATAAACCATTAGCCAGAATCATCAAGAAAAAAAGGGAGAGGACTCAGTCTTCCCTGGTGGCTCAGTGGTTGGAATCTCTCTGCTAATGCAGGGGACATGGGTTCGAGCCCAGATCTGGGAGGATCCCACATGCCACAGAGCAACTAGGCCTGTGATCCACAACTAATGAGTCTGTACGTGTGGAGCTTGTGCTCCGTAACAAGAGAGGCCGCGATAGTGAGAGGCCCATGCACCACAATGAAGAGTGGCCCCCACCTGCCACAACTAGAAAAAGCTCTCGCACAGAAATGAAGATGCAACACATCAAAAATAAATAAACTAATTTAAAACAAATGTACCACTGCCACTGTGGATGTGAGGATTAAATTAGTCAATGCTTAAAAAAAAAAAGAAAAAGAAAATAGGGAATAGACTCAAGTAAATAGAGTTAGAAATGAACTAGGAGAAGTAACAAATGACACTGCAGAAATACAAAGCATCATTAGAGATTACTACAATCAACTCTATGCCAATAAAATGGACAACCTGAAAGAAATGGACAAATTCTTAGAAATGCACAACCTGCCAAGACTGAATCAGGAAGTAATAGAAAATATGTACAGACCAATCTCAAGCACTGAAATTGAAAGTGTGATTAAAAATCTTCCAACAAACAAAAGCTCAGGAACAGATGGCATCACAGGCTAATTCTATCAAACATTTAGAGAAGAGCTAACACCTATCCTTCTCAAACTCTTCCAAAATATAGCAGAGGGAGGAATACTCCCAAACTCATCCCACGAGGCCACAATCACCCTGATACCAAAACCAGAAAAAGATGTCACAAAGAAATAAAACTACAGGCCAATATCACTGATGAACCTAGATGCAAAACTCTTCAACAAAATGCTAGCAAACAGAATCCAACAGCACATTAAAAGGATCATACACCATGATCAAGTGGGGTTTATTCCAGTATGCAAGGATTCTTCAATATATGCAAATAAATCCATGTGACACATCATATTAAGAAATTGAAGGAGAAAAAATACATATGATCATCTCAATAGATGCAGAGAAAGCTTTCGGCAAAATTCAACACTCATTTAGATAAAAACCCTGCAGAAAGTAGGCCTAGAGGGAACTTTCCTCAACATAATAAAGGCCATATATGACAAACTCACAGCCAACATCGTCCTCAGTGGTGAAAAACTAAAAGCATTTCCACTAAGATCAGGAACAAGACAAGGTTGTCTACTCTTACCACTATTATTCAACATAGGTTTGGAAGTCTTAGCCACAGAAATCAGAGAATAAAAAGAAATAAAAGGAGTCCAAATCAGAAAAGAAGAAGTAAAGCTATCACTGTTGGCAGATGACCTGATACTATACATAGAGAATCCTAAGGATGCTACCAGAAAACGACGAGAGAAAATCAATGAATTTGGTAAAGTAGCAGGATACAAAATTAATGCACAGAAATCTCTGGCATTCCTATACACTAATGATGAAAAATATGAAAGTGAAATGAAGAAAACACTGCCATTTACCACTGCAACAAAAAGAATAAAATATCCAGGAATAAACTTACCTAAGGAGACAAAAGACCTGTATGCAGAAAAATTATAAGACACTGATGAAAAGAATTAAAGATGAAAGAGGTAGATGGAGAGACATACCATGTTCTTGGATTGGAAGAATCAACATTGTGAAAAGGACTCTACTACCCAAAGCAATCTACAAATTCAATGCAATCCCTATCAAACTAGCACTGGCATTTTTCACAAAAGTAGAACCAAAATTTTCACAATTCATATGGAAACACAAAAGACCCCGAATAGCCAAAGCAATCTTGAGTATGAAAAATGGAGCTGGAGGAACCAGGCTCCCTGACTTCAGACTAAACTATAAAGCTACAGTAATGAAGACAGTATGGTACTGTCACAAAAACAGAGATATAGATCAATGGAACAGTAGAGAAAGCCCAGAGATAAACCCTTGCATATATGGTCACCATATCTTCGATAAAGGAGGCAAGAATATACAGTGGAGAAAAGAAAGCCTCTTCAATAAGTGGTGCTGGGAATCCTGGACAAGTGCGTGTAAAAGTATGAAATTAGAACACTCCCTAACACCATACACAAAATTAAATTCAAAATGGATTAAAGACCTAAATGTAATGCCAGACACTATCAAACTCTTAGAGGAAAACATAGGCAGAACACTCTATGACATAAATCACAGCAAGATACTTTTTGACCAATGTTTTAGAGAAATGGAAATAAAAACAAAAATAAACAAATGGGACCTAATGAAACTTCAAAGCTTTTGCACAGCAAAGGAAACCATAAACAAGACCAAAAGACAACCCTCAGAATGGGAGAAAATATTTGCAAATGAAGCACCTGACAAAGGATTAATCTACAAAATTTACAAGCACCCCATGCAGCTTCATATCCAAAAAACAAACAAACCAATCAAAATATGGGCAGAAGACTTAAATAGACATTTCTCCAAAGTAGAGATACAGATTGCCAATAAACACATGAAAGAATGCTCAACCTCATTGATCATTAGAGAAATGCAATTCAAAATTACAATGAGATATCATCTCACACCAGTCAGAATGGCCATCATCAAAACTCTGGAAACAATAAATGCTGGAGAGGGTGTGGAGAAAAGTGAACACTCTTGCACTGTTGGTGGGAATGTAAGTTGATACAGCGGCTATGGGGAACAGTGTGTAGGTTCCTTAATAAACTAAAAACGGACTACCATACGACCCAGCAATCCCACTACTGGGCATATACCCTGAGAAAACCATAATTCAAAGAGTCATGTACCAAAATGTTCAGTGCAGCTCTATTTACAATAACCAGGACATGGAACCAACCTAAGTGTCCATCAACAGATGAATGGATATAGAAGATGTGACCCATATACACAATGGAATATTACTCAGCCATAAAAAGAAATGAAATTGAGTTATTTGTAGTAAGGTGGATGGACCTAGAGTGTGTCAAACAGAGTGAAGTAAGTCAGAAAGACAAAAACAAATACTACATGCTAACACATATTTATGGAATCTAAGGAAAAAGGGAAAAAAAACCGTCATGAAGAACCTAGGGGAAGACCAGAATAAAGATACAGACATACTAGAGAATGGGGTTGAGGATATTGGTAGGTAAAGGGTCAGCTCTGACAAAGTGAGAGAGTGGCATGGACATATATACACTACCAAACGTTAAAGAGATAGATAGTGGGAAACAGCCTCATAGCACAGGGAGATCAGCTCAGTGCTTTGTAACCACCTAGAGGGGTGGGTAAAGTAAGGTGGAAGGGAGTGAGGTGCAAGAGGGAAGAGATATGGAAACATAAGTATATGTATAAATGATTCACTTTGGTATAAAGCAGAGACTAACACACCATTGTAAAGCAATTATACTCCAGTAATGATGTTAAAATAATAATAATAATTTCCCATGCATCCCTACCCCCATCCCCTGATGACCACATTTTTACTTTCTGTCTTTATGATTTTGATTAAGTATCTCATATACTTGGAATTGTGTTATATTTGTCTTATATGACAGGCTTATTTCACTTAGCATATTGTCTTCAAGAATTATACTTTTACCATATTTCAGAATTTCCTTCTTTTATAAGTCTAAAAATATTCTATTGTATGTACATATATTTTGTTTATCCATCAGTGGACACTTAGAAAACTTATCTGTTTTCATTATTATGAAAAATGCTGCTATGAACATGGGTGTACAATATCTCGTTGAGACAATGCTATCAATTCTGTTGAGTGTAATTCTATTTTTAATTTTTGAGGAATGGTTATACTCTTTTTTATGAGGGTGTGCAAGAGTTCCAAATTCTCCACTTCATTGCCAACACTTGTCATTTTCTGTTTTTAAGATAGTAGCCATCCTAAAGGGTGTTAGGGGGTATCTCACTGTAGTTTTGATTTGCACTTGCCTAATTATTACTGATGTTGAACATCTCTTATGTGCTTATTGCAATTTGTATATCTTCTTTGGAGAAATGTCTATTCAAGTTTTTGTCCAGTTTTGAATCAGGTTCATTGTTTTGTTGTTGAGTTTTAGTTTTCTATACATTCTGGATATTAATCTGTTATATATGATTTCAAGTGTTTCCTCCCATTCTGTGAGTTGCCTTTTTACTCTGTTATTATTTTAATGCACACATTTCTAAAATTTTTATGAAGTCAATTTGTCTACTTTTTTCTTTGTTGCCTGTGTTTTTCTTTTCATATCCAAGAAACCTTTACCAAATTCTATGTCATGAAGCTTTTGCCCTATGTTTTCACCTAGGAATTTTATGATTTTAGGCCTTTGATCCATTTAGAGTTAATTTTTTTACATCTTGCTAGATAAGGCTCCAACTTCATTTTTTCACATGTAGACAACCATTTTTCCTGGCCCTATATTTTGAGGGAACTGTCTTTTCAAGATATCAGTATCATAATGGAATAAGATCTTCCTTGTTTTTGTACCTCCATTCTATAACATCTCACATTCATTCATGAACAACAGTGCTGCTGTGGGAGTAGTAAGATATAGCACCATACACCAAGGGAACTGGGAGGAGTCTTGCTCACCTGTGGATCTGACAACTGGCAGATGGACTTCAGTACAGACTGTGGAAATGACAGGAGCTCTGATTCAGCCCTATAACCCCATGGCTGTGGTCTGGGCACATCTAAATTGGGCAGACGTTCATAGACAAGAAAGCCATTGTGGAAGTCCAGTTTTCCAGAGGAGAAATTCCAGCACTCTGAGGGAGTAAAAACGAGTTTAGATGAAAGTGAGTGCATAACAGGAACAGGTTTACTTTCCCAAGGTCACCCTTCCCCAAAGATGGCACAGCTTAGAACTAAACTAGCTGATTATCTCTCCAATAAGTGAAAGGGAGTGTGAGAGTAAGTGCTCCGTTTCCCCAGCTGTGAAGAATGGTAACTAGAGACAAAGAAGGTCATTAGATAATGACAAAGGTGTAAATTTATCAAGAAGATACAGTAATAATAAATATATAAGCACACAACATTAGAACAGCTAAGTATAGTAAGCAAATATTAAAAGAGCTGAAGGGAGAAGTAGACAACACAAGAAGAGTAGGACATTTCAATACCCCACTTTCAGCAATGGATAGGCCACCCAGAGAAAATAATCAACTAGAAAACATAGAATTTGAAATGTACTTTTGACTAAAGTGACCTAACAGAATTGTGTGTGTGTGTATATGAAACATTCCATTAACCAAAGCAAAATACATATTATTTTTCTCAAATGTTCACAGAACATTCTCCAGGACAGATCATATGACAGAACACAAAACAAGTCTTAGCAAATTTAAGAAGTTTGAAATTATACCAAGTATCTTTTCTGACAATAAAGGCATAAAACTAGAATCAACAAGAGGAAAGCTGAAAAATTAACAAATATGTGAAAATTTTAAAAAAACATTTATGATCAAGAAATAGGTCAAAGAAGTAATGTTTTTAAATGTGTGAAATCTCAAAACAAATGAAAATGGAAGCACTGTGTACCAAAACGGATGGGATGCTGCAAAAGCAGTTCTAACAGGGAAGCTTAAAGTGATAAATACATACATTATGTAAAACGTAAGCTCTCAAATAATCAAAGTAACAGTACATGTCAAGGAACTAAGAAAAGAAAAACAAACTAAGTTCAAAGTTAGCTGAAAAAAGGAAATGACAAAGATCAAAGCATAAACAAGTAAAATATAGCCCAGAAAATTAACAGAAAAGATCAACATAACTAAGAGCAAGATTTTTGATTGAAAAGCCTTTTGAAAATTGCAAAACTTTTATGAGACTAAGAAAAATGAGAGAACACTCAAATAAATGACATTGATAATCAAAAAGAGACATTAAAATGAATATCAAAGAAATCATAAGAGACTTCTATGAACCTTTATATGCAAGCAAATCAGAAAACCTAAAATACATGGATAAATTTCTAGAAATATGATTACCAAGGCTAAATCATGGGGACTTCCCTGGTAGTCCAGTGATTAAGACGTCACCTTCCAATGCAGATGGTGCAGGTTTGATCCATGGTTAGAGAGCTAAGATGCCATAAGCTTCGGGGCCAAAAAAACCCAAACATAAAACAGAAGGAGTATTGTAACAAATTCAATAAAGACTTTAAAAATGGTTCACATTAAGAAATATTTCCTTAAAAGAGACTAAATCATGAAGAAATAGGAAATACAAATGAAGCAATAACACATAAGGAGATTGAGTCAGTGATCAAAAACTTCCCAACTAAGAAAAGTTCAAGAGCAGATATAGATTTACCTAGTAAATTCTACTAAATATTTAAACAACAATTCACTCTGATCCTTTTCAACTGTTCCCAAAAAATCAGAGGGATGGGAGCATTCCCAAACTCATTCTATGAGGCCAGCAGTACCCTGACACCAAAGACACACGGACACTACTAGAAAAGAAAAATACAGACCACTGCTCCCAATAATTTTAGATGGAAAAATTCTCAAGGAAATATTAGCAAAGTGAATTCAACATCACGGTAAAAAGATGCTCTACTTAAACAAATTAGTCAATGATACACCACATCAATAGAATGAAAGATTAAAATCATATAATTATCCCAATAGATGCAGAAAAGGAATTTGACAAAGTACAATACCATTTTATGATAAAAAAGAAACTCTTAACAAATTGGGTATAGGAGGAACATACTTCAAAATAATAACCACCATATATGAAGAGCTCACAACTAACATTATACTCAACAACGAACTGTTCAAAGCTTTCTAAGATCAGAAACAAGACAAGGGAGCCCACTCTAACCACTTTTATTCAACATAGTACTGGACGTTCTGGCTAAAGCAATTAGACAATTTTAAAAAAAGACATCTCAATTGGAAATGGAGTAAAGTTATCATTTTCCATATGAAGTGATTGTATATATAGAAAAGTCTAAAACACAACAAAATTGTTAAAACTAATCAATAATTTCAGTAAAGTAGGATTAGAAAATCATGATACAGGTAAAAATCAGTTGCATTTCTCTATATAACAATAATATAGCTTAAAATAAAGAAAACAATCCCATTTAATGCATCAACAAGAAAAAAATACTTAAAAATTTTAAATAAGGAAGTGAAAGATGTGTACACTGAAATACAAGACTCTAACGATAGAAACTGAAGAAGACACATGCAAATATAAAGATAATTTGTGATGAAATATCTGAAGAATTTATATTAAAATATCCATATAAACCAAAGTAATTTATACATTAATTGCAATCCTTATCAGGATTCCAACAGCATTTTTCAGAGAAATCGAAAAGGTCAATCCTACAAATTTATATGGAACCACAAGAAAAAAGAAAAAACCTCCCAGTATAAAAAGCAATCCTAGTGCTTCCCTGGTGGTGCAGTAGTTGAGAGATTGCCTGCCGATGCAGGGGACATGGGTTCATGCCCCGGTCTTGGATCATCCCACATGCCGCAGAGCGACTGGGCCCATGAGCCATGGCCACTGAGCCTGCAGGTCTGGAGCCTGTGCTTTGCAATGGGAGAGGCCACAACAGTGAGAGGCCCGCGAACCACAAAAAAAAAAAGAAAAGAAAAAAAAGAAAGCAATCCTAGAAGCTGGCAGAAGAATAAGACGCGGAGATCACCTTCCTCCCAACAGATACATCAGAAATACATCTATACGTAGAATTGCTCCTACAGAACACCCAGTGAACGCTGGCAGAAGACCTCAGACCTCCCGAAAGGCAAGAAACTCCTCCACATACCTGGGTAGGGCAAAAGAAAAAAGAAAAAACAGAGACAAAAGAATAGGGATGGGACCCTCACCAGTGGGAGGGAGCTGTGAAGAAGGAAAGGTTTCAACACATTAGAAGCCCCTTCATGGGTGGAAAGTGTGGGTGGCAGAGGGGCGAAGCTTCAGAGCCATGGAGGAGAGTGCAGCAACAGAGGTGCGGAGGGCAAAGTGGAGAGATTCCTGCACAGTTGATTGGTAACGACCAGCACTCACCAGCCAGAGAGGCTTTTCTGCTCATCCACCGGGATGGGCAAGGGCTGGGAACTGAGGCTCGGGCTCCAGTCTGATGCAGGGAGAGGACTGGAGTTGGCTGTGAGAACACAGCCTGAAGGTGTTACTGCACCACAGCTAGACGGGAGGGAGTCTGTGAAACGTCTGGAGCTGCCGAAGAGACAAGAGACTTGTTCTTGCTCCTTTGTTTCTTGGTGCGCGAGGAGAGGGGATTAAGAGCACTGTTTAAAGGAGCTCCAGAGACGGACGCAAGTCGCGGATATTAGCACAGACCACAGAGACAGACGTGAGACACTAAGGCTGCTGCTGCAGTCACCAAGAAGCCTGTGGGCAAGCACAGGTCACTCTCCACACCTCCCCTCCAGGGAGCCTGTGCAGCCTGCCACTGCCAGTGTCCCGAGGTCCACGGACAGCTTCCCCAGGTGAATGCACAGCACGGCCCGGGTTAGTGCAAAGTCACGCTGGCCTCTGCTGCTGCAGTTTTGCCCCGCATCCGTACCCCTCCCTCCCAACGTGCCTGAGTGAGTCAAAGCAGACAAATCAGTTGCTCATTTAACGCTGTACTATCTGAGCAAAAGACAGACACCCTCAGGCGACCTACATGCAGAGGCAGGGCCAAATACAAAGCTGAACCCTGGGAGCTGTGTGAACAAAGAAGAGAAAGGGAAATTTCTTCCACCAGCCTCAGAAGCAGTGGATTAAACCTCCAGAATCAACTTGCTGTACCCTGCATCTGTGGAATACATGAATAGACAATGAATCACCTCAAATTGAGGAGGTGGACTTTGGAAGCAAGATAGATTATATTTTACACTTTTCCTGTTTTTGTGAGTGTGTATATTTAGGCTTTTGTGTGAAATTTTACCTGAGTAGTTTGCTTTCACCATTTGTCCTGGGGTTCTGTCCATCCTATATTTTTTTCTTCTTAAAAATTTTTCCTTAATAATTATTTTTTATTTTAGTAACTTTAAAATTTTATATTTCTTTATTATCTTTCTTTCTTTCCTTCTATGTTTTCTCCCTTTTATTCTGAGCCATATGGAGGACAGGCTCTTGGTGCTCCAGCCAGGCGTCAGGGCTGTGCCACTGAAGTGGGAGTGCCAACGTCAGGACATTGGTCCACAAGAGACCTCCCAGCTCCATGTAATATCAAACAGCATAAATCTCCCAGAGATCTCCATCTAAACATCAACACCCAGCTTCACTCAACGACCAGCAAGCTATAGTGCTGGACACCCTATGTCAAACATCTACCCAGACAGGAACACAGCCACATCCATTAGCAGAGGGGCTGCCTAAAATCATTATAAGGGCAGAGACACCCCTAACACACCACCAGACATGGACCTACCCAACCAAAAAGGCAAGATCAAGCCTCATCCACCAGATCACAGGCAGTAGTCCCCTCTACCAGGAAACCTACACAACCCACCGAACAAACCTTAGCCACTGGGGACAGACAGCAAACACAACGGGAACTATGAACCTGCAGCCTGTGAATAGGAGACCCCCAAAACAGTAAGATAAACAAAATAAAAAGGCAGAGAAACACACAGCAGTTGAAGGAGCAGGGTAAAAACCCAACAGACCTAACAAATGAAGAGGAAATAGGCAGTCTACCTGAAAAAGAATTCAGAATAATGATAGTAAAGATGATCCAATATCTTGGAAACAGAATAGAGAAACTGAAAAACATTTAGTAAGGACCTAGAAGAACTAA